CTCCCGGGCGGCCGTGAAACCGGCCAGTGGAGGCGGGATCTGCTGTAGGAATTATTGGGGAGGCGGATCTTGGCCTGTGGCCCAGGGCAGATGAGAGGATCACGGTGGTCCCTTCTGGCTTGGGCGTCCAGCTGACAAGCCTCTCTCCTCAAGTCGCGTCCGCCTGCTGCCTGGCGGGAGGGGCGCTGGTAATGGCGGGGCAGCTCTGCACCCCCTTGGGGCACCTCCCCCTCACTGGGGCAAGACACCGCCTGCCCTGCTGTTGCTAGGCCCTGGCTAGTGGAACTAGTGGGCCTGGGGCACCTTAGACCAGTGGTCCCCAACGTGGTGCCCGCGGGCGCCATGGCACCCACCGGGGCATTTATGTGTGCCCGCCTAGTGACCAGGGCCAGCCCGAGCGCAGCTCTGCACCCCCTTGGGGCACCTCCCCCTCACTGGGGCAAGACACCGCCTGCCCTGCTGTTGCTAGGCCCTGGCTAGTGGAACTAGTGGGCCTGGGGCACCTTAGACCAGTGGTCCCCAACGTGGTGCCCGCGGGCGCCATGGCACCCACCGGGGCATTTATGTGTGCCCGCCTAGTGACCAGGGCCAGCCCGAGCCAATCTTGAGCCCCGGGCGCCCCAAAAGGTTGAGGCCCACTGCCTTAGACCCTCACCAAACTGTACAGAACCATGCGCTTCCGTGGGCAAAACCCACTTCCTCAGATGAAGCGGAGCGGCAGTAACAGAAACCAGGAGATCTAGATAATGGCAGAAGACCTTCCTGTCTATTGTAGGACCTGTGTAAACGAGGCTACTTAGGCGGGCTGGGTGTGTCCCATTCATAGCTTCGGACGTGGAAATGCGGATATTAACGGCAGGGGAAATTGGCTTTGTAGTGCACCAGGGCTGACTTTAAGCCCAGGGTAACGGTGTAGCTAAATTCCAGTTCTGCAGCCTCGCTCTGTGATTGGTCAGGGAAATTCCTTGGTGCGTTTCGATCCACGCCGCTACAGGTTGGCGTGTTACCGTTGTGGACCTGGCTACGGGGGAGCCGTGCGGTTCTCAGCTTTGTGTGTCCTTGCAGGAAGGGAAGACTTACGAGCAACTGAAGGAGGAGCTGGGAGACGCGTGTGCCGTTGTCAGGATCACAGGCGTGAGTTGCCGGGGTGGGAGGTAAAGGGGGGGAGGAGATGAGGCGAGGCGGCTGGCACCGGATGGGACTCAGCTCAGTTGGCCAAAGATGGGGACGCTGCCCAGGAAGCAAACTGAGCACACGCCTGCCCCAGGGTGGGACGCGGCCCCTGCCGGGTCGGTGGCATCGCGCATGCGGCTACTCCCTGAACTCTGTGCCCCTCTGCACAGGAGTCTGCCCACAGCCTGGCTCTCAACGCCCCCACCCTGCCCACCGGCTCTCTCCTGCCTTTCTCAGTCGAGCCCTCGGGCCGTGCAGCTAACGCACTGAGCCCCGGCCGACCCCGTGAACCACCTCCCAGCTGCTGAGCGCTGCAGCCGTTTGACGCGGCCCAGTTCCAAGCACAGCCCACGGGGTCTCGTATCTAGAGACAGACCTCGGGACTCTGCAGGGAGGCTGAATGTGGGATCCCAGCACTATAAACTCCCCGGGCTCTCTCGTGGGCTCCCCTCGTTGACGCGGCCCAGTTCCAAGCACAGCCCACGGGGTCTCGTATCTAGACAGACCTCAAGGGACTCTGCAGGGAGGCTGAATGTGGGATCCCAGCACTATAAACTCCCCGGGCTCTCTCGTGGGCTCCCCTCGTTGACGTAGGAGCCAAGGCTCAGGGCAGAGAGAGGCAGGCGTTGTGACAGGCCCTGGGCCGTTTCTCCTCCCCGTGCTGCCCAGGATCTGAAGGGGACGGCGCTCACTCCAAGCCCCGGGGCCCAGAGCGGCGCCGCCGCGCAGACCTACCCTCTGGACGTGCTAACGAGCCAGAAGGATGAACTGCCGGGAGACGTAGACCCCGCCAAGAAAGAGGTGAGTTCGGAGGGACCAGGTTTTTGGGCCCCGATCCTCCCGGGGTTTAGCCCCCCAACTCCTACTGATTTCAATAAGCACCCAAGCCCCTTTGAGAACCAACCCTGGTTCTTGCTGCCTGCTGGGCCTGCTTCGAAGGTTTCAACTGACTCGGTCAACTTCCGTCTCCTCTTAGTGGGTACGCGGCAACCCCTCCAGTGTCCGGCCGGTCCTCT